AGCCAAGGTTAGAATCAGTGACCTCACACTATCCGATACATACAGTCGTTATGTTTATCTCTTACAATGTAAGAAAATGAGGAATTTAGATGCTACAGCTTCCCATGTTTTGCATAATGCATTGGTTTCTGCAGCACGTTTGTAACTCGGAGCATTCTGACTAAATCACAAGTGCAAGCTGACACGCGAGCCTGGTATTGTAGGAACGAAGTCAAAGACTTGGAGGTAGAAGATGGTTTTGAATAGTATTAAGGAAATTAAGACAATAAATAAACATGAGCTTAATAATTCTAGAATTAGAACGATTTATGTTCATAATAATATTTACAATTAACAGCCTTATGTGTATCAAACACATTTAACCAAACTGTATTTCAGTGTTTGGCGAATATTTCTATGTGTTTCATGCAACGTAAACTCTTAGCCATTTTTCCGTCTTAATTTTGGGAATCAATATGCATGATATTGCATTTGAATAGGTTATAATCCAGGAGAGCTCAATGCTATTCTGGCTGTTTTCTTTTTAATGGTTTCAATGCGTTCAAAGGATGATAAATTCTATACACAAATAACATTGTGAGATATGAAAACATAAAACAACAAAGGTTGTGTTTGATATAAACAATATTTCGTATTCAAACATTAGCTCATTGATTCAAAACAGACCTCACAGCAAGGTGTAATGACCGGTTGTTTACCAACAGTGAAGTCTTATCCTAAGGAGTTATTGGTCTGCTGTTGTTATTCCAATGAATCTATATCGATACCAGGAATATACCATCAAAAATAATTTACTGTGAGACTTTGAAGTCAATATGATATAAATAGAATAGTTTAAGTTTTAGAGTTACGTATTTAACAACTTTCTTTTTTCGGAAAAATAAATAAATAAATGAATAAATAAATAAATAAATGAAAATAAATAAATAAATCGCTAGCATAAGACGATAACCACTATATGACGTTGACTATAAAAGGTAAACGAGTCAGTGAAACTCAGAATTTTAATTTCCACTCCTTGCACATATTCAGTAACCTGCAATAGACAAAAAGATTTTGAAAAAAGAAAACTCCAAAGTTTGAATAAACACTAGTCGTATACCGATTGGAATCTTGGAATTTTTGTCATAGTATTGAATGCATACATGAATTATGCTAAGTTTATAATAAAGGATGGTGAATACGGTGGAAACCATTCCTTAAGGCATCAACATTGATTTTTATAAAGTATATATCGCGAAATATGATCGGTAATGTTACAGTGAAAACAGATGTTTAACTGCATGTCTAACGGCAGATTTAATTGTGCTCAATTTAAGCATTTTAATATTAATAGCATTGTTTAAACAACATGTTTTATGATAATTTTACATAATTGACATACTTAATTCTTATTTATGTAAAATACATTTTGACAAATATGAAAATTTGCAATGTCTTATTTGTTTTGTTAAACCAACACCTTGGTTACTTAAGTGAAATGGGATATGTAGTTCTAAATAACATCAACAAAAAATTCAAGCTGAAATATTAACGTTTATTTTGTTATTTTGTAAATCACGTTTCATATGCACATGTATAATACAATTTATAATTAGCGCTACTCTTTTACGCATGATGTGCAATTCAAGTCAAAAACATTTATCAGACATTTGCAATAATTACTTTATCATTTTTTATTACAAATAATGGACAATTTTTATATCAAGAAATGGACGGGACATGAATAAGACGATCTACAATGTTTAAGTGTGTTGAGTAAATTTATCAGACAATTGGCAATATTCAGTAATGACAAAAACATTCATCAGCCTGTTTATGATACCAAGAGCAAGAATTAAATAATTTAAGAATTTTTCACTTTCGTTATACGGTTGCATGTAAAGCCATTCAGATGCATACGAAATGTATGATAATGTTTAAACGAAGCAGGCGAATATAACAATCTATTATGATATTTACAATATTTACACAACAGTGTACAAATAAAATACCGTAAACACACGTATATCATTTCAGGTAAACAATTCTGACATTTAGAATAATTAAGGTACATTAGTGAATAGAAAGTTCCAATAATCAATACACTACTCCTATAGTGTATCCAATTGACAATTTAATTAGGATTTGGAAAAGTGTTACATTTTCAGGAAAATTTCACACTCTAGTATCTGCATCAAATAAAAAACGACGAAAATAAATCCAGCCCTGTTTAACGTTGGCTATCAAACCAGAATCTCGAAGATTTATAAAATATCTTATTAAAAAATCAGTGATGGTGAAAACAGATAAATGTTTTTTTTTATTTAGACTATGAAGAATTTATCCTTACAATTGTTTACTGCCGTAAGAAACGAAAACCCATATCGTGTGTTAGATGTAATTACGGCAAGCACTCCATGCCAATTAATTAGTCAACGGAATGAGGCAAAGTTAAATCGGCTTCACGCGTCAGTAAACTTTTTACACTACCGCTCTAGGTATAGGTCGATATCTGGTCTCACACAATTCGTTCACAAATATACATGTAATAGCGCTCTTCCTAAAGTACGTCTTGATTAAAACCAAGAAAACATTCTTTTAATGAGCTTCCCTTTCCTTGTAGAGTGTAAATAATTAAGGCTAACGGTTTCCAAATACATCGCAGTGTTTCATTCTTGTTATCTGATTATAATTAGCGTGTAGTTTATCATTACAGTAAATACACCTATGCCCAAAGTTGTAAGAAAAAAATGGTTGCTGCTATTTAAGGAATGTGAATATTTTTTTCCCATTTTTTCCACGAAGAGATAAATTTAGTTAACCTTGAAAGATATCTAAAAGAGAGCGTATTAGATACAAGATTAACTCGTTACGTTAATAAATTATATAGACCAATATTTAATCCTGATAGATTAATCAAAATCATTAGTCGATATCCGGATCTTGTGCTTTAATTAAGGTGCTAATTACCGAAAAGTCTGCAACATAGCCCGGCACAGAATGTTAAATTTTCTCAAAAAATATATATACCATTAGTATATAAACATATTTTATTTTCTACTTCGTCATTAATTCTTTACGATAAATATCCAAATTTATATAATTCAAGAAATCACACGCGAAGACAATATTTATGTGGTCAATTTCATCGAAACTTTAAACAGACAACATCTGATAATTTTTATGAGTGAAACTGGAGTGGATATTAGATTTTTTTAAACCGATATCTGTAGCATACCGTTATTATTATGGATGGTGAATGCAGTTATATAATATAGTAAATTCAATTAACATGAAATGTTTACACACACACAAGCACACACGCACACAAACACACACATACACATAGTTTGCATTGCAGAAGAAATCGTACGCGTAGCACATTAACTACACAAAGTTTCTCTTTTTTTAAATTTTAAATATGAAAATAGAATGCTTACTGACAAAGATAATTAAAAAGTTCATATAATACTTGTAATACAAGTCAAAGAAAACATTATGGATCATGATTTATTATACAGGAGTTTGAGAAAGAATATTTCCTTTCATATATATAAACAAAAAACAAAAAACAAACGAAACAAAACAAAAACAAAAAAATGATGATAATAATTAAACGTATTCAACATTAAAATTATTGATATATTTGAAATATAAAAGTGAACATGATAATACAATTATTCATAACAATGAAAGATTTTGAACAAAAAGAACAGGCATTACAAACGTTGTTTTGTTTCTAATATTTGATGTGATTCAAGTTTAAAGTTTTATTTTTTTAACACATTCACACAGATATGCAATATTCGTGTAAGATTTTGTATGTAAAATATCTTTCTTAGAACCACCAGAGAGACAGTAAAATATGAACACAGCTATATATATCATCCTCGCACAGATCTTAGATTAAAGCACAATCAGAAAAGACTGTCATCTGCCGTGTTCAAGGCTTTGCAATTTCCGTAATTCAACACACACTATTTTGGTGTGTTGGGTAGTTGTACAGAAGTGACAGCCAGCTCTTCACATAACGGAATCTAATTCATCTCCCATTTCGAGAAGCAGTCATTTCTGTCATTGTTTAAATAAATCAAACTATAAATTAATCTTGTTATCGTGGTATAAATCTGTTTGCTGTTAACAATGAACGTTACATGTAATTTGTTCCCGTTGAGTGAACTATGGCTTGGACATTTATTGCTTCCTATCTGTGATATAACTATTCATAATAACACTCACAAGTTGACACGCGGGTGTCGATAACTCCGCCCATCCTTTGTAAGGTCGCGTCTGATTGGCCAACACATACTGAAACGTTGTATTCCGAACGCTGATGCTACACCAGACACAGGTGAAGATTGAATTAAATGCTAAATCGATTTATAAAATTTACAATTATACAGACATAATAGAAAAGAGAAAAAAACAAGTCAGTTGAAAGAGAAAATCTCTCGGTGGTCACAAATACCTGCCCTTCTTGACCATGTAATCCGTTGGCTTAGCGTTCACTGATTGTACTTCACCCTACCGACGTTCGGATATAGATCACAGATCGCGTAATTGGACGCGGTGTATTGAAGAGTACACATCGACCATTGTGCATTTTTCATAACAAGTGACTTTTAGCCGTTTTCGCTTCATCTGTTAAGTCTTTGTAGCGGACAATTGATGTCTAAGGGGCTACCATTCACGCTTAGTGGTCACAATTATATGTAGCATTGTCGCCGATCAAGTGTGGGTATATCGCTTCCTACCTACGCTGTGTGTACGACAAGACATTATATACTGTCACATCCATACGGATAAGATGTCTCGCTACCCCACCAGTAGAGTGTAGTTCATGGATTACTATTTTTCTTAATTGCTTTGATTTTGATAAGGATCGACAGTTTTGAGATAAGATGAAATGTAGACAACGCGAATACATATGAACTGAATAAGTCTCCAGAGCTTGTAAACATTTGGTTTTAGCCGGTTTGTAACCGTTTTTGTTTTCCGATCTATATTCAAGGATCGCAATGACACTGAACCTGATAAAAGGTGACCGAATGGCTTCTTCGGTGGACGCAGTGAGTTCCTCTTCATCACCATCCCCAAAGCCAAGAGTCAATGATGATGCTGAAAGTCATTCTGATAAATCTGACACTGAAAATGAAAGAAGTTGTAAAAGTGTTGATGCCCTCAGTGATATGGACCGTATGTCAATTCCGTCAGTCATTGATAGACAAGAACTTTCTTCGGACTCAAAAATACAAGAATCTCATACACGACTCAGTGACACAAATGGACCGCCAAGGAGATCATTTTTTATTACAGACATTTTGTCGGAAGGACATCGAGAACGGACTCAGACATTCTCGGCATTTCGACCGTTGAGAGTGCCGAGTCGATACCTATCCTCACATTCTTCTCTTAACACAGAGGCAATTTCAAAACACAATTTTGTAAACTTTGCATCTTTAGGTAACACCGGGCACGCCGACGACTATCGCAATGATACAGGTGATGACAAAGACGACGACGAAGATGATAGCGATGATGCTAGTACAGATATTCTTGAAGGTATATATCATTATTGTACCAATTTTTCACTCGGACAGTTTTAAAGCAAAATTGCACGTTATTAGGGACAAGATAAAATTCAATATAATAAAATTGACTGAGTGATAGGTATTGTTGTCCTGACAATTTAAATAATGGAAAATGTTTGTTACACAGATTACAAACGTTATATATTTGTTTTGATTGAATACATAATGCTAAATTAAATACATAAGCTAATTCATCTGTTCATGTTTTGTGTGTGTGTGAAAACAATTTTTGTGTATTTGAATGTAAAATCTATATTAACGTGTGACTTATTTCAGAATGTATATACCTTACCCAACCATACGACAATTACGATGATATTGTGGTCAGTGTTTAGTTCTTTTCCTTGAAAAATGATAACTGATTAAGATAGGAAAATAATACTTTGATATCAAATAATCAACCACGTACGATGGTAATATATTCGTGTTTAATAGATCTTCCTTTATAATCTTTAAAGTTCACTAAGAGGTATGCTTTCTAATACAAACGATTTACAATATATACATTTATAATTAAAGTCGAAGACATTGTTTCTATCATCTTTTAAATTTAAAAATATCTTAAGACACAAATACATTTTGTAGATTTTGCAGTTGTCCATCTGGTTGTGTAATTGCAGTCATTCAATTGTCATCGTCTTTTCATCGATTTTTAAAATTGTGTTATGAATAACATTTGTATCATATCAAAGTTTTATCAAGGAAAATCAACACCCTGATTGTTTGCATAGTAAGGTCTATTACGTGCATGGTTTATATTGTTTGGTAAGTCAAAATATATCCGTTATATGTTAAACGATATTTTGACACGTTTTTAGACACAGTCAACACAACTCTAATTCAACATGTCAAGAAGTTGCCTGTCAGCTCTTTGTTCAGGTTGAAACATATACTATGAATTCTATTTTATTATCTTGTGAAATCGTACCTGTTTTTATAGACTGTTCATCATACCATCTAACACTTATCACATTTATATTCACATTTGTATGTGGACATTGATAAAGGATTTCCACTCCATTAGTAATTGTATATGCTAAAAATGGGTCGAAAATAACCAGCAATTTAGTGTTTACAAAATAACAGATGAGGTCTTCTGTAAGATCAGATTTTGATGGAGAAGAGTGTTTTTGAATGTGGTATCAAATTCCCATTATGGGTTTGGCTAGAGACATTTTTACATTACAACTTAAAGCTTTAAGTTCACTATCACAAAAGTGAACACTCAACTGACCTTGCGTTGAATTGTAACTGTTGTAAAACGGATCTTGTACGAAATCAAATATAGAGGGACTTGTGTCATTATCAATGTCAAATGTTAAGAATCTTTAATTCGTAAATACAACACAATTAAATCAAAAAAGGATAAAAACTTCATAAACATCAATATTTTGCTGTGCGAGATATATTTATATATATTCTTTATTTTAATACTTGGGTTATGTTTAGATCGTCGATGATTTTGCACCGTTAAAACCATAAAAAAACTGTAACAGACAGGAGGACACTTACAACAATCAAACATTAATAATATCCTGAACAAATAACGCTGGCTATTATTGTAATACTTACTGAAGAATCATTGATACTTACGCTTGTTTTGTTTTTATCCTCAACATTTTCATTTGTAAAAATCAAATCTAAAGTTAAGCATTTAACTTTGGTATAGTGTGACAGTCATACAACCCAGATACAGAAAATGTCAACATCAAGTATTATTTGATTTGCTTTTAACGTGTGAAATGGATAGCAATACTGAAGTTTTGTTCTTTATCAGGTTTGTTATGTTCACTATATGTTAAAAGATTAAAAAAAAAAGGAAAGATTAGACAGTTATCTTTTAACTAAATCTTTTCTGTGAGCTCTTATATAACAGGTTTTCCTATATCAAAATTTTTCTGAAAGGATTTTCCCGTTGTTTCCTTCCTATCTTCATATTCTCTTCCAGAATTATTACCACAATAATGCGAAGTTTTGTATGCATTTTCAGTATGGTTATTTTGTAAATATGTGTATGAAGGAAAATAATATGCAATTGCATTATGTCACAAAATTCATGATAAAATGACGAAGATGACACTTTTTTGTTTGATATTCCATTAAAACGTTTAAAATAGATAAGGAATAATGAGTTTTAATTTTCTTTAGATTTCATTAGAAAGTAATAACCTCTAAAGATGATAAATACGAGGATAAGATGTGGGGATAATGTATGGCATGACAGCAGATTCCACTAGCGGTAAATAAGGAAGGTCGCGCCATTTCCTTGTCTTCCTGGCATAGTTTGGGCACGCCATCGTGACGAAAGCGTAAATAGCCTGTACATTAGCTTAATTAATAATATCATACGTAACATATTCTTCTATTAATTACACGATTAACATTGCAATCCGCTCATTTTTTGTTGTTGTGAAGAATATCGATAAATATGATTATACGTAAACACGGGGGTGGCAGCTTACTTCTCGATGCAATTACATAATTGAAGATGTAATTTGTTTTCCGTTGTTTTTCTGTCGGTGTTGATGCTAGTCATTTGGACTGTTTAATGGCAACACATTGCTAGATTGCCCGTAATCAATAATAAAGAATGTTTTTATGGCTTTAGTTCTAGCCGTGAACCCAGTAGTGGCGGATTCGGCATATCACCGGCTAGCTCAGTATGCTTTGAATCAATAAAAAAGGGGCTTTCATTTTGCGACTTGCCTTTGTGATATAAATTATTTACCATTTCTAGACAATGAACAAACAAAGAAAGTTAGAGATATCATGCAACAAAACATTTTTTGTTAATAGAGTTTGTAGTTTAAGCAGCTTATTAATAGGCGGTCATGCAGTGTTGGCCTAGTTCTTATTATCGTTTAATTTCTTTAAATTCCCTTTTAAATTTGGCCAAGTTTCTTTTTTGTGTATCCATCTCCCAAAATATCATCCCTTGGATTTGATCTGAATCATCCTGGTCAAAACTAAGAGTTTTTCCCTCTTAATTTCTGTTCTGTAAGTAATAAAAATTTAATATATACACATTTCTTACATAACAATCCTACACATCAATGTATTAATGTTTAGAATTGTCTTTTTTTCTTCTTAAACTTTTTTTACAGTCTTTTGATTTGTTTTATTTTTTTTTAAATTTTTTAAATTTGAAATATTAGCTTTTCTAGTATCTTGTGTTTCTGGAATGAGTCAAATAATGATGATAGTTATAATGTTAAATTGATAGTTGAAATATTCAGCATCAACGAATGGAGTTTCATCATGCAAATTATAACCGTACGACAATACACAAAAATAAATATAATTAGATAAATTATTTCATGATAGTGCTTTATTCGAATGCTTCCTGTCAGATAAAGTAAGAGTTGAAGATATGTTTTATTTATCAATATTAGAATAAAAAGAATCGTACAAGCATTATGAACTGTTGTTATTAAGATTGTCTCATTTGAAAGTTATTAGCATTATTAATTTCCATAATTTTTAATTACTATTTTTTTCATCATTCTATTTTCTGACGTTTGTTTTTCATTTCTTTGTTTACTTTTTGTTTCCGTCCTTTTTGATTTCTGTCTTTTCTAATTTCTTGCTTATTCGTAACTTTCACCTGAAGTGATATAAATTAATTTAGTGTTTTTGCGGATAAGTATGAAGGCCGCTCCGATATACAGTAGTGTAGAAATGTAGGGACTCTGATTTCTGTTCCTTTCGAAACCACTAACATGGAGCTGTTGGGTATAATTTATTTCAGCGTGTTGTCTAGTTTGCATAAATTGAACATAAATGTCACAGATAAAAGACATAATTTGAAATATGATATGAGAGATATCTTCCCGGCTTCATCGTTGGGCTGAAATTGAGCATTGAAATAGAAACCTGATCCGTGTATGATGCGACAAAGATGAGCATAGTTGCTCCAGTCTGAACAGCAATAGACCTCTCGCTGTGTATGGCTTTAATCCAATTAACTCTATTTAGTCCGCCGTATTTCCACCCAGAAAGTCTTCACTTGCCCACCCAGATGGTTTAGTTATGATAACACACGACTGGCCCAGGAATGGGAACAAATTTGCAATGATCATACATTTGAGCTATTGTCCGTTGTTTGACAGTCAACAAACATTTTTGGCATGCAAACAGTTTCCTTACTATCGGAGGCGGTCCTACAAGACAGCTCTTGTCAGAGAATTTTGTAACCCAGGTGAATCCGCTTACCCGGATTCATTATAGTACGGTTTTAATTAAGTCTTCTGACAGCTTTTACTAACGGAGTTCATGAAAAAGTCCTCTCTGTTAAATAGAAAGATTTAGAAAAAGTAAATTGAGGGCGTATAAATATAGGAAGCTTAACCCCGGAATCGTCACGTTTGCCGAGAGCAGATTTGCTTGCGTCGTGTTGGTTCCATACACGGAGGTCCAAGTTCACTGAAGACTATCTCGATATATCGAAACTATATAAATGACTTGAAGTGATCATCAAATTATAAAACTATTTTACTGTATCCCCCCTTGAAACTTATCAATTATGTTAATACAATGTGAAAGTGCCTATTCACATTAGAATGTGATCTCTTGAATTCAAACTGTCATTACAATCTTAATTGTTTAAAACACATGTGTGTAAACGTGATAAAATATTCGCTCCTATAAAAATATACCACGTCGATACATATATACAACAAAGCAAACTTAATATTCGAATTGTATTTAAAAACACACATCTATATTATTATTTCTCAAATGTAAAAATTGATAAATTATTTTTCAAGTGCAAAAAACAACTTTTGTCTCGACGGCAATTGTTTTCATATGAGATATATAAAGTTAATTTGAGTATTCAAGGCTTCATATGTTACAAATGTAATGGTTATCCTCAGAAACAAAAAGAAAAAATATTCATCATGTTTTCATAACGAAAATATTTAATTTAGCTGAAAAATATTCATAAATGCATGATTATGGGTTTTTTTTTTTTTTTTTTTTTACAATTATCATAAACGATAAAACAAATAAATAAACAAACAAAACTGCGTGGAAGTTGTTGAAATGTCGTGAATGCAACGTTAAAGTAAAACCTTGGGTAATATGGAAAATCATCAGTTCAGAAGTCTGATTGATGTCAATGGTATATTGTACTGGTATGTAACGCCATAACGAAAACAAATGTCATATTCATATGAGACAATTTGAAAATGGTACATAATCCTGCGGCTTATTACCGATCAAGCAACCTCTATGAGGCAAAGAATAAATGTTATGTTAAAAAGCGATATGAACATTATTTAGAGAATTGATAAAATCTGTGGCAGATGAAAGATAATTATAACTTTTGTATTTTTTTTTCAGATAAAAAGGATGATGGTTCTTCGGATCAACAGGCAGATTCTGTGACTGGATTAATTAAACCAAAGAAGCCCCGAAAGGCGCGCACGGCCTTCACTGACCACCAATTAAACAGTCTGGAAAAAACTTTTGAACGACAAAAATATCTCAGTGTCCAAGACAGGATGGAGCTCGCCGCAAAACTCAACCTGACTGACACGCAAGTGAAGACCTGGTACCAGAATAGGAGGTAGATACAATAACAGCTGATATTTTTCCAGAAATAGATAGGAACATTTTTTTCTAGCTAACAGATGTGACGAATTAGATCGAGGATGTAACTGCTGGTATACATGTGAATACATAGCTATTGAGAAGAAAGAGAGTTTTAAGATTAACAGATACTATATAAGCTTAAGCAAAACAGTACTCTCAGCTTTCCTTTATACTTCTACCGGTTATATATTCGTATCATGGTGATAGGCCATTGACAGATCATTTACAGCGAGTTTAACATATTCATTTTTTTTCTTTTTAATAAAAGGTAATCTGCATTCACTTAGTAAATAAAAACACCTATTTTCTTTACAGCGCTTAAACATATGTGTGAAAATAATTGACGTTTAAAATGTCATTATGTTGATCACAACTGGTATCCGGTTTGGACAATAAGAGATAGCTTTTGATCTATAGTTCATGTCTTCTAAGCTTCTAAATCATTTGTTCAGTAAAGTGTTCACTTTTTAAGTAAAGACTGCATCTTCACCTGTTACATGGTGTAACAGATCGTATTCAATAATTAATTTTTTTAATCTTTTAGAAATATTTTTTAAAATTTTTGGTTTGCCCCCAAAATATTTTCTTGGTTTCTTTGATTTGTTTTATTAATAGTGTCAATAAATGATAACAGGGATAAACAATTAAGCTTGAAAACAAGCATATTTTTCGTAGATACACAGTTTAGGAAAATAAGACATGATAGTGCGTGTGTCAAAGTTCCGCAGTAACCCATCTTTCATCAAACTCAAACACATCTGTTAACAACGTACATTACATAAAAGTTGTAAATCTGAGGCAAACAAACAGAAAATGTTTGACATTTTCTTTATAGTTATTTTAAATCCAATGTCTCATTCGTCAAAAACAATGTTTATAAAACACGAGATATTTGGAAATAATATTAAAAGAGCAAAATTATGGAAATGAAGAATACCTGTCTATATATATTTGTTTTTAATTTTCCCCAGTTTTATTTGATTTTTCTTTTTGTTTTAATTTTTCAATTTATTTTATTTATATTTCTTTAAATTTGGTTTTTAAACATCCGACACAAAAGATTATAATTTTGGGCCAAAGAAGCCACTTCAATTTTTTCTACGATTCATTCTTATTTACTGTATATAACTAAACAGTTTGGTGTCATTATTCTTCTACCTGCCCTAAACATCTAATGAAAGACGTGAACGGTTTCTATCTGCCTGTATTTGTTGAACATTATATAATAAATATACATATTATGGGACATTCCTGGTAAAAAGTAAACTATGTATGACTGTAATAACGCTATATAGGAAATGTCTTGGAGAACCAGTCTTTTTGGGTATGTTAAGAGTAGCTCGATTGCATCAACACATTGTTGACAATCTTGCTCATATACTTACTGATCTGTCATCTAACCATGGAAATATACTTAAATTGAATGTTTTTCCGTGAAAGTTACTAAAGCCTAATAGTATTAAACGTAAATATTCTTTCATTAACGAAACTTGTGCATATAAACAGCTGACGTCACAAAATTTACAATGAGAAATAAGGTGAAAATAAATAACTATTCGTTTCCTGATTGCAGATATTGATTTTTTAACATTGTCATATCATGAATACATGTATTTATAAGTATATAATTCTGGGGTGCAACATAAGTACAGCATTTTTAAAAAGTCCAATGTTTTCAGGACACAACATTGTTATGCATTGACAATTTTTGATACACATCACCAAAAACCACAGTTTCTTGAAATTGTAAGGGATACGTAGATTAAATTTAACGAGTTATATGTAAATATTTTGAATTAATTTACCTACCATTAATAATCTATGAAGTCTTATAATGGTTACATATATTGTAAGTAATTGAGATAGTTTTTGTGAAAATTGTAAAACCTCTGACACAGCCAGCGGACCATGGGTACAAGAATCTATCATTGTTTTAGAGTGTCTATCGTTCATAACTACACTTTAGAAGTTGTCTGTGTAAATAACACTTTGTGAATAATCAATACAAGAGCCACAGGAAGCAAATAGACCAACGATATATATATTATTGATCGCCTCAGAGTAACACTTATTCAACACTTAAAATATAGAATATATCTTGATTATGTGAGATATTTACGAATACAAAAGCTTACCTTGAACATATACACATTGATATAAAATGGATACAAGCGACTTTTCTTCCGATAAGACAAATTTAGCCGTTTAGGTAATACAAGACTGATCTTTATTTTGACACTCCCATTACGTGTTCTGCTATGGTCGCTCGGACTCAATCCCACAGCGTTAACAAATCGCTTGCTTGTTCCAATATCGAGCAAATCCTGTTAATAACTCACCGACCAAAGTATATTCTGACTGCAACACTCGCATGTAAAAACCATATGTCCTCAGCATCAGTATTGAGCAGGTTTGATCTCCTAGCGATAACCTAGGTTCTAAATCGTCTCAGTGGGAATTCTGCCATACCGATTTCTGGAAAATAAATAAAAATTAACGAAATAATACCGCTTGGCCTAACAAATCATTTGGATTCATTTGGAAAGCTTGCTGATAGGATGAGTATTTGCCTTCCTCTCGGGAGAGGAGGAGATCTGTATATATAGAAAAAAATACTGACGATCATAGAACTGTGGACCTCCCTTTTTGTAAACCACATTCAGATGATAATTTTGTTATTCTTATTTCAATGATATGTATTTATGAAACTTAAATTTTGGAAACAAGATAAAGAATGCACACAATGTTACGTCAATTTTAATCTATATAGATTTTATGTTATTCTCCAAAGACTAAATAGAGTAACCGGACTTGCGTATATATTAAACTTAATTTACACTTTTGCCCAAACAATGTTTTAAAACAATGTCTTTTCGAACATTATGATTAATTTGGTGAAAATTCTCCACATATCTGCACAGGATTGTAGGTATATACCAAGTAGAAAGAAAAGCTTACAGAGAGTGATTCGATAGAACGTTATAGAGGGAAATATCGTAATTGTATGATATCTGTAATCTTTGAGAAGACTATATGTTATAAAATACAATAGCTGACAATTCTATGATGGAGAATAGGTCACAAGGTTTTGTTCCGTTTGATTAATAAAAACTACGTATATTTATGTTGTTTTTTCTTAAATTCCAGACTTAACAAAATTAAACGTGTAGTAAAAGTGTAGCTATTTATAAATGAGAAATGTTATCATTGATCAGCTGATAATTTTTTTTCTTGGAATTTCAATCAACATAAGCCAAACGTTTTAAACTAGGAATAGTAGAAGCAGAATAACTAATCTGAGAACAATGGAGTTTTAGCCATTTTTTGTATACAGTAAATAAAGCGACAACGTTCTCCATTAATTACCTGAAAATTGTTATCAAAACTTATAAAAAAAATGTGATCAAGTTTACCAAATATGATAATACCCGGGTTCTCTACATGAAATAAACAAAAATTACGAAGTACGAAGCATGGAAATTGTGGAGAGGTGTTTTTGAATTGAACATCTGGGCCAATCTACTCCAATACATTTACCCCACGCAGTCAGGAATTTGTATTATATTAACACGTTTGAATACACCAATAGACAGACATCCCACTCAGCGTATGATGGTGCATTTCTCCTCAATATACCCCTGGCCGTATAATAAGGCCTGCCCATTATCCGTACAAGTGAATTAAAATACATTTTCCAAGTGACTTATACTGACTTCATTATTTTTCAATTTTGACTTTTAGTGCACTCAATCTTTATATGTACAAGCCCTTGTTACATTGCACGCCTGCTTTACCGTGTAACGTTGTACAAAGCCCGAGAGATACGGTCTAAAACCGAACGGCGATTGTTACGAGTAAGAGATTCTCTCCGGTCACCCTTACGTGTATCAGCTGTTGTAGAAAGCGTTTGTGTAGTGGAGTGCACACAGGTATATTCTAATAGTTTGAACTGAACAGTTTCCGGTATGTGAATGTAGGATTTGCATACGGTACTGGATGACCCGAAAGCAATAAATGGGGAGTATTTAATATATGCAAGTAAATCATTTATACGTGATGGGAAAATTTAGACGTTAGGGAAGACATTATATGGGTGAGCAACTGTCATTTTACGCCGGATAAATTCTTACGGGTACGGTTCACTCTTTACATTGGACAAACCGTTCGACAGAGACGCATTCACCGGTTAGATCATTTGCCAAAGTGCTTCATGAGGTTCTCATGCATAATTCACAACGATCTCTATTTGATGTGTTTTCATAACAAAAAAACACTTCGATTAACTTTTTGTTGAAATGTTTAAAAGGCAAATGTGTAAATAGAACCACTGATTTCTAGAGGCTGATCTGAAAGGGAAAATTACAGCATCACAACATATCAATTAGTCGTGACTGGAGGCGAGCTGTGGACATATATAGATCCTACTACATACAATTATGGTTTATATAAAAGAAATCAATACGAGAAGGCTTAAATGTTGTGATACCATTTAAAAACTTCTAGTTTGATTAGGAATCTTTTTACTAAATACATCATTGACAGAAAACGATTATGCTTAATCTGCTGGTATTTTCTAAGTATATTTCTGTGAGGATATGGATATCTTAAAACTAAATATTATTTTTTCTAAAACATTTGTTCAAATACGCTCGCACATTAATTAAAAGACGACAAGTCTCTACTGTTGATGGAGTTTAGATAAGAAAAATACATACATAAATAATAACAGTAAGCAAATTGTAAAAGGGATTATGTCATTACAATAAACGATAAATTGTAAAAGGGATTATGTCATTATAATAAACGATAAATTGTAAAAGGGATTTTGTCATTATAATAAACGATAAATTGTAAAAGGGATATTGACTTTATAATGATCAATAAATTGTAATTGAAAATTACCTATCGGAATGTTTCAATGTTTCATGCTTGAAATTTCATATAGCACAGTATAATATGAACATGACTCCCTAAGTAAGAGAATTTTGAATTCCGTAAAAATGACACCTAACTGATCGTGTTGTATCTCCAAGAAACAATTACTGAGTCTGCACACGTATATCCTTAATGTTAAATAGCTGATTTGTTGTTGATGATTTGTTCACAGGACAAAGTGGAAGCGACAGACTGCTGTTGGTTTAGAGTTACTGGCTGAGGCAGGAAACTACGCGGCTGTCCAACGTCTGCTTCAGACTAACCCTTACTGGTTTACTTACCATCCACAGGCAGCAGGAATCATCTCTAATATTGACGCTTTGTACTACCGCCATGGTGAAAGTTCCATGACTCCACAGCGACCGACATTGCCTAGAATGTTTATCCACGGTCTACAACAACATGTTAACCATATTTCCACCCCTCCTCCAATTTATTCGGAAAACCGAAGTTAAGATATTACTGAAAGTGCATAGAGAGCGAACGTCTATTAATGATACAGGTGGGAGTTTGGTGCGATTCAGCTGTCATGGAAATATACGATGACGGAAGATATCAATAAGTCATTTTTTTTTTATATGATAGATTTGATAGACTAATTATAGTGATCAAGTTATTGTTAAAATTGAACTGAAATAATTTGACATGAATAATTATCATGTGTAGACTATTTCTTGTGTTCTTCTCGGTGTTTTGATATTCCATTACTTCGCAATTGGTAATTTGTTCAAAATGTCAAATATTTTTTATGGTAACGTTGATCTTTCATGACTTATCATGACTTTGATATTTTTACAAGTCATATTAAGATACAAATGTCCATACGAAATATACAGGTATGATGGCCATGTATTGACACCCAATACGTGTCGTGAAAATTTTGAGTATGATGTTTGTGCTATGGACGCCCTTAACGTGTCAAGATATTTATAGGTATGTTGACCATACTATGGACACCCTTAACGTGTAACGATGTTTAAAGGTTTGATGGCAATAGTGTGAACACGTGATACGCGTCATGATGGATCCCACTAGTCGTAACGTCCGCCTACGGAATGGTTGATGTGCATTGCATGCAATTCAAAAGCTTCGATATTACTTATGGTCTTTTTTTTTTCTTCTCTTTTTCATTATCTCACAAGCATTTATAAACTGAACTAAAGTGATTTCTGTTTATCACGAAATTATCTTTAGACATAGTCATGAATAAAAAATTAAAACAATATAAGCTTTCTTTATTTATTTTCAATACTGCGATTTACTTATTCTTGTCTCTACACAATACAAGTTTTTGAGTGTTCAACACTTTTGCAATGTGACATGTTGTCAGAAATACATTGGTTAGTGAACAAGTCATCTAGATGACCCATACATGACATTGTTTGAATAGATCTCACAGTATCCTTAATAAAAATACATAATAAAATATAAAAAAAGAATATACGTACGATATCTGCTTGTTGATCGTTACAAAAATTGAATATATCCGAAATCCAATACGCATTGTTTTAAAAGCATAGATATGTTTATTGCGGTGAGTAGTTGAAATGTATTCCTGTCTTTTGCGCCGCAATGTAGACAATCGTAGATTTATATCCCGGAATCAATAATAAAGAAAAAAAAACTGTCTTCAATTCTTAAAACCTTAAGCATTCCTTATTTTCTTTAGATTGTAATCATCTGTTGAATTACAACTTTGATCAACACATTTGTAACAGAGGTGACTATTGATTTTAATGTCTCCGCTCGGATTCGAACCTAGGACCCCTGGCTTAGTAGACTGACGCTCAAGAGATCGGGCATATGCTCTCTCGAGCTGAACGGATTACATTCTCGTCGTGACAATTAATAATAATAAAAGAATAACAATGACAGATGTTAATTTTTACAGCGAAAATTGAAAATGATGATATTTTTAAGTTGTCGTTTTGGGAAAGATAAGCAAAGACGGCTCTAATCAGCCATCGTGATTTTCTACTGTACTTTAGAGGGATCACCAAGCTGTCGTTAAACACGCGGTGTTGCTTATCTAAAACGACCTATGTACAAAGGCTTACAAAGTGAAAACGTTAATAATAAAAAGATTATCGACAAGTCAACGTCATCTACATTTATGTACTAGCGAGGCGTATGTATATTGTATCAGGGACTAGCACATTACTTCGTTTGAAATGTGCCGACATCAGGAGATATCTAAAGGACTCCAACGACCTCGGCTTTAAGCATAACATATGGTAATATAGACCAAAACTATATCATATAAGGGGCGGTCTTCGCCTTTGTCAGCCGTATTATCGCCTTGTTTACAAATCAAATTTGTTGAAACGGAAAACTTCCTTTTGTCGTTAACATATTTTCTTGCATACTGTACAGTAAATGAAGCATTGATCTTAAACCAAATTTTCTAAGAAGTTTTCATTTTGAATTCAATCTGTCTCATATTTGAAACTTATATTTCTGCTTCAAATAAACTACGAATATCGATAACTGAACAAGGTTGCAATCTAGAAAAAAAAAGAATTCCTTTCTGTCGATGACTGTCTGTTTACTGCGTTCATACTTTGTGACGTAAACCAGGCATTGCGACCTGAAAAAGCAAAGGTCTTGACGAGGTCGGTAACAAGACTTTATTTATGGCTCTGCAAGCATAAACTGCATACTTGTGCATTGATCGTAAACAAGGATGCCATCTCTTAATTCAGCTCATTATACCACGAAATATCACACTCAATTGAAATTGATAAAATATGAAAGGACGGCTTTTTTATCTTCATTTTATTGTGCGATTGCGCTAAACATAAATATTGTGAGTTACGAAGCAGTTTGGCCACACAGTATGTGGCACGGCACCTCCCTAACCATATCTCCTGTAACGTGTTAGCATATCACTTTAATCAGACGTATAAATGTTACCTGTTGACGATGTAGTTTTTTTTCGTTACATATAAATCTAAAAAAATAACTCTGTTTGACACCGGATGAAATTCAAGCCTTTCGCCATTATACCTCCCATTCTTAACAAAATGATTACAAATATGGCACCCTAACTAAACATTTAAGTTTATTGCGACAGGTTATCAGATAATATAATTTATACTGAGATAGACGAAACTCCTTATTGTGTCAATAAATACAACGCTTTTATTTACCCTTAGCAGCGACATGACAAATGGCGTTCTCTTTGTAGATGTTTTAAACGCTATTGTGATAAGGTAGGAAGATATCTGATAGGTAATATTAAGCTCGGTGAATTTCGAGACGGCGACGGTTCCCTATATTGGTGTGTGAGTGTAAGATTAGGACAGACCGATGTGGTGTGTACGATTTTTTTTACCTCTAAATTTGATCAAGAATGGTACGATGATTGTACGAAGTATCAGCTTGATTCCAGTAATCACCAGGTGGGTGGATCTTTATGTCAACCTCCATTACTGTATTTCAACAACCGTATTGTGTCAGGAAACCTCCGTGTACTATTCAAATGTCCGTCCCTATCTATGACAATCAAAATAATCAGATAAATCTATGTAATATAATTCTGTACCAGTATCGTCTTGGCTATCACACTGTCGATATGAAACATTAACGTATTTTTGCACATTAATATAGATCTATATGATAGGAATGATATAGCTGCCCTATAATGTATCGACTCTCATCAATCCAGGTGTGTACGCTTGTTGACACCTTTGTGTTCTTTACACCTAAGAATCGCGTATAATTGGATAAGCAAACTGGACTCGGTAAAATGTTGCGATCTAAAATATTTAACAATCAGATACACGGATTTGTCCACTGTACACTGATAAGGAATGTATCGAACAGACTATGAATGCCAGTTAATTTGATTTTCAACGTATCCTCGCGATTTCACTTCTTCCTCGAAAACAACAGCAGAAAGATCTTCATGGTGACTCCTGAAAAAGTACCAGGAGAATAAGACCATGAATTCCGAAAAAGTAAGCGTCTTCTGCTTCATCGCCGATACCCGCCTTGTAAATATTGGTCAATCTAAGTAAGTAAGTAATGTCACGTTTTCAAATGAGGACAAGGTATACAACAACAATAGAACCTACTTGCAAACTAACGAGCATCAAACACGTCCAGCTTCTTATTGCACAAAAAAATATAACTTCGTTGTTTCAGGATATAGATATCTCGAATTATATACAGTCTAAAAAATTATTGGGTTTGAAGATGATATATATATACATATATTACATATATTCAATGAAGTTACAATGACAACTGTAAAACATAATTTTCAATCAACATGCATCTTATGATAACCTGTGTTTGTCAGTTGGTCGACGATATCTTGCACGAATATCTCGATATCTAATACAGGCCCTTGGATATGAAGCAACTGCGACATGTTAGAACCATAGGTTAGGGGTGCAGGAATGTTGTCTTCCAGAAATGGAAAATTCATCACGCCTATCACACATCTTGTTGGAAAGCTGGTCGTGTTGCGTTGTAGGACACGACTGAGTAGAAGAGTCTGGTGTGTCTGCCTTGAATAAAATCAAAAACAAGACAGTCAACAGAGGGACACAGGTAGTTCACCTATATCTACCAATTGTCTGTTGGAAGATCTTATCACCTAACTCGAAAAACCAGAAACTCGGTCGTTTTTATGATTTCGTCCTCCAGATACTTTTTCTTTGATTTGGACGTATTTTTCACGAAATACACTTTAATATAGTTATAAAATGTTTTTAAAAAGTTTAAAGTATTAACTAAATGCACAACTGCTACGAGAAAATACTCACATAAAAAATTTGTGAAATGTATAATGATACAATATCCCTTCAGTATGTTACCCTTATAATCTTATATAATGAAATATTCCCTCGATGTGTTACCCTTACAATTTTATATAATGAAATATTCCCTCTATGTGTTACCCTTACAATTTATAAGATGAAATATCCCTTCAGTATGTTACCCTTATAATCTTATATAATGAAATATTCCCTCGATGTGTTACCCTTACAATCTTATATAATGAAATATTCCCTCGATGTGTTACCCTTACAATTTATAAGATGAAATATCCCTTCAGTATGTTACCCTTATAATCTTATATAATGAAATATTCCCTCGATGTGTTACCCTTACAATCTTATATAATGAAATATTCCCTCGATGTGTTACCCTTACAATTTATAAGATGAAATATCCCTTCAGTATGTTACCCTTATAATCTTATATAATGAAATATTCCCTCGATGTGTTACCCTTACAATCTTATATAATGAAATATTCCCTGATGTGTTACCCTTACAATTTATAAGATGAAATATCCCTTCAGTATGTTACCCTTATAATCTTATATAATGAAATATTCCCTCGATGTGTTACCCTTACAATCTTATATAATGAAATATTCCCTCGATGTGTTACCCTTACAATCTTATATAATGAAATATTCCCTCGATGTGTTACCCTTACA